TAGCACGAATGAAGATTAATTACTTACACATAAATTATATCAATACAAACATGTGATAATGCCCTTCGTAGTTCACACACCCCTTCTCCATAGACACACTAAAACAAAATTAGAGAAGATCGAGCAAAGAGGACCATTGGAAACAAAATCGACAAAGCGATAAATTATCATATGATTCTAAAGGCGACAATAACAACAACATGGTTACATGTAGCGACGACTCTTCTTCTCATGGTCGTCGTCACAACTGCCATATTCCTGTCGACTTCCACCGCGCAACCAAGCCCTCGCCATTTGAGACCGATAAGTGTTAGTGACCTCCAAGATTACAAGAACCTGGTGGAGTGGGCTGTGGAGGAGAAGAACAAGAACAACCCTAAATTGGAAGCCTTGACGTTGGTGAACCTAGACACGGGATATTCCCAAAATTCCATGGACTATGACTTCTTCGAATTTTACCTAACCGCCAAGGCGTCAACCCCACTCACTCTGGCCCGGCCAAATACTTTACCAGAGTACTCCAAGGAAACGGTTTTCCAAATGTAGTTGATAACTTTTACAAGTATAATAATGAAGGTATATATATATATGGTGCCTTCTACGGTATCCCGGGTGAAATCTGGGGTACCGCATACCTTGAGTATGAAAACGTTATCTAGACCTCGAATTAGCAGGATTTCTGGGCATGATATTATACCCTAACCCTTAATGAGTGAACCCTAGGTCCTAATTATCTAAATCATAAACTATAAACCCTAAGATGGTGCATTGTTTTGTTGCTTATATTTGGACGAATCATAACCGTCGATTATTAATTCTAATTAAATTGATCTTGGGGTACAAGGTTTAGAGAATTAAGACCTAGATTTTGATCTTTAAGAGTTAGATTATAGTACCATGTCCGAAAGATCAGTGAATTCAAGTTCTGGATAGCGTTTTCTTACTCAAGGTATGCGGTACCCCGGATTTCACCCTGGGTACCGTAGAACTCCGCATATATATATATATATATATATATATATATATATATATATATATATATATATATATATATATATATATATATATATATCCAAATGATTGAAATGATCAATTACCGGCTCATGACTTTATCATAAAAGTTGGTGTAAATGCATGAGCAATAAATATGGATAATGATTTTTTTAAAAAAATTATAATCTCAATGAGAAATGTTCATGGGGCATTTGTCATCACCTTCAAAATGTCGACAAAGGCACCTACATTTTATGTGATTTTCTCGAATCTTTGCCACTTATAGTTTAGGGTTATAGACTTATAGGTATGATATGCCCCTCTACTATGACGTTTTATCAAACATGTCCCCATACTATTTTTTACATCAAACATGACCATGTAATTTGGAAAAACTATCAAACATGCTCTTCAGTTGAAATTTCCATTGAAAAAATCGCCAATCATGGTTGAACCGAGATTTAGACGACCTGACATCGATAAATGGGAGGGAAAATGTCAGTTTTGATCCTTGCTTTATTTCTCTAGGTCTCATCAAAGTGAAATTATTATAATTATTTGGCTATACAAAAGAAGAAAAAACTCTAAAGTGAAATTATTAGAGATATTTTAGATATTTGGGTCGCCCAAACCAAAGTTCGGTCTTGGTTAACGGTTTTTGGATGGAAATTTTAGCAAAAGAGCATGTTTGATTAGTTTTCCAAAGTACATGAGCATGTTTGATGTAAAAAATAATAGAGAAATATGTTTGAGAAAACGTCGTAGTAGAGGAGCATATTATACCTATAACCCTATAATTTATAAGAGAGATAGAACTCTCTGGATCATTTTCATTCGATCGTATTTCTTTGTTGCCGATGAAGAGTGAATAACAAGTTATATATATGTGTTGAAACCCCTTACCGAATGAGCTAGGGTTGTCAACCAAATTTATTGCATAGTAGTCGTTATATATAATCAACGTGGTCCTCATATAATCAGAGTAGTCGACTAAATCAATTACATTCAAAATGGTCCTAAGTCATAATAATCAATATATATACAATAACGGTACAAAAGATGAAAAGAATATATAGGTGGGCTTCTTTTCGTAGAATCACCTGAATGCATTAAAACTTCCAAATCAGTGTAGAGTCTACATTATACATCACTCAACTATATTGGAGGATTACTGTCAAAAAAAAAAAAAACTATATTGGAGGAGAGGAAGCTCACCAATAGAGCCCAAAATCATGGGCCAGGCAGTGAGCCTCCTTGTAGACTACTGGGCTTGTTCTAAAAAAAATGGAGTCATTAGTAGAAGTTGTCGCCCTCACTCTTTGATTTTTCTAGAGTTCATTTTGGGCCTCCAATTATTAGTGGCCATCAAAATAAGTCCAACTATTAGGTTAATGACCCGAACTATATATAATCAATTTTGTTCAGTGATTTTAGAAAATGTTATTTTAGCCTCAACTATACATCATATAAATTCAATTGGCCCGATACGTGGTTTGACCGTCAACTAGTATAGATATGGGATCAAAATTAGTGTAAATATTATCAATTACATATAACAGTTTAGTTGCATGCTAACCTGGAAGCTCTAGGGGAACTGATATATAACGCATTTACTTTCTGTTTGCACCGTCTTCATCTGCCTTTGATTTTATGTTTTTGCTCGTGTTTACCTTTTATTACTTCGTGTATAGTTTTTGTTTCAATTGGCACTGAGGTTTCTCAATTATTTTCCAGAAGAGTCACTTCGAAGTAGTGGGATTTCTCCTGTATAAAAAAATGTAGTGGGATTTGAAAGATCATGCGAGAATACAACATTGATATTCTTCGGACCTATCGAAGGAGATACAAAAGTGGTCATCCGCCAACTCAAATTTGGAATGGTGGAGGATTCTATTGGAGGCTCCATTCTTCGAGATTGTCGTTGTCTTCTTGATTCCATCTCTCATTGTATAGATTTTAGGGTGGTTCCGCGGACTGTCAATTGGACTGCTCATAGAGTGGCACATAAAGCCCTGTTGTTGTCCCAGCTAGAACTAGCTTCTTTTGATTTTGTAGGTTGGCTAGTTAGTGGGGTGGGAAGGGATTGTGGGTATTGGTTCTTTCTAACTATTTTCTTGGTATTCCTGGAAGGGATGGGGGGAAGTCAGACTATCAACTTAGATTTGGACCCTGTCACTATAACGATTCATCTTCCACAATCCATTAGATGATCCTGATTAGGCTTTCATTCTTTTCCCCGTGAGCGAAGTTAAGCAGAGCGAGAAGTTGGGAGAGGAGCTCATGATGGTGGCTTCGAATCAAGGTTGTCAACCCGTGGGTTGACCCCGGACCCGGTCGAGCTAGTGAATCAAGAGTAAACGAGTCACCCGTTTTAGCCGGAAAATATGGAAAGAGTCATTATATTGTACTTATCCTAATAATTTATATCAAATCTCTTCTAACATATGAGTAATAACATATAACATTACACCAAAGTAACATGTTGTAATTAGATCCAATATATAGTGAAAATTGGCATACACTTATATAACATCAATATTCAAAAGTTCAATTAAGGATTCCAAAGATTGAGCTAGGCGAAAAGAAAAATCGGAAAATATGCGCATTTCGCAAACCAAAAGAAAAAATGACACAATTTGACCTCCAACCCGATACCTTATAAGTTATAACGATTGACCTAGCGGATACGTGCAGCCTATTTTTTTCACCGAGTCGGGGTCAATCCGTCGATTGACAACCTTGCTTCGAACTGATAGGCTGAGGAATTGCAGGATATGACAGAGGAGCGTACGAAGTATTAGCCGGCCCCGATACCATTTTAGCTTTGATTCATGTCCCCTTCAAACTTAGTCTCCCCCGGTTCCCCCCAGCGATCCATTTCCTTAATCTCTTTGTTTTCCCCATTATTATTTGACCATTAGTTCATACATCATTGAGGGAAGTGAAAAACCGGATACTTGGATTTTTAGTTTTTTACTCTTTCATTGAAGCAAAACAGATTATGGAGTTAGAATTACAAATCTAGTCTCAAAATTTGAGATTTTGACTCCCCTCATTGAGAATGATGTTATATCCTAATCATAACTTTATCCATCATCATGATTTTTAGCACTTCGAAATTTTTACTAGTAGATTTACCGTTCAAAAACTTGATAAAAAGGGCATTCTGCTTTCTAGCATTAGAGAACACTTTGCTCAACAATTAAACCCAAAAGAACAAAAGAGTAGGAGGAGGAGAAACTAAAGCCACCGATTTTGACTTAGAGGTGAATTAGAATCGAATCTACCTTCTTCACCTAATATATTAATAAGAACTTCAAAGATTAAACCCTAAACTTATAGTGACCAAAACCGAATCCCCCGAAATTGCAATTTTGAATCAATCCAAGGATAGGGATGTGCAATGCTTTAGTTCGGTTCGAACCAAACTCACGAATAACACGGTCCAATAGTGAAAAATATTTTAGAACTAAGGATCAGATCAACATTGTATTTGGTTCGATTTGATCCTATTCAAATGTCAATTCGGTCTTTTTATTTTTATTATTTATAAAATTCAAAATAAAAAATGAAACTATATTTTACTCGATTCAATTTGATTTGGTGTAATCCGATACGAACCGAACCATTACACTCTCCGAGCCGGTACCCACTTCCCTCCCTCCACCTCCTCAACATTAACGTTTGCAAAAGGGTAGAAAGTAAAAAGAACGAAGAAGATCCGCACTCACAGAAAAATGGAGTTTGCTTTAATTGGACCGTTGGAGGAGAAGGGAGGGCAAAACAAAAAAGAAATCAAAATAAAAGAATTCCTCCCTGCCGCCGAACTTACAAAAATCCCCCAAACGCCAAAACCACAGCTACGAGACAGCAGAGACAGAGTCCGCCTCCTCCTCCTCCTCCTCCGATTCCGATTCATCGTTTAATCGATCATTCTCACATCCACCATTCATTCCATCGAAAACCCATCAAGGAAACGAAACGAAATCGGAGAAGAAAGAAGAATCATGGCAGCATCCATCAGCAGCGGCGCTCTTCAACACCAGAACCCAACTTTCCAATCCACCGCCGTCTTCAACATCCTCGACCCAATCTCCCTCATTCTCTCCCAAAATTCCTCCGATTCCTTCGAGCCCATCCCTCTCAAGCTCACCACCGAGACCTACTTCATGGAGCGCGGGCCTCGCTACACGGCCTACGCCCACCTCAGGGAATCCAAGCTCCGTACCAAGATCCCCTCCACCACCACCGCCGCCGCCATGGCGACGGCGTTTTCCCGATTTCCGGTGTCGGAGACCGAGTCCTGGAGGCAGACCACTCCGCCGCCGAAGAAACAGGTCAAATTCAAACACCAACCGCTCAATCTTCCTGCCCCTGTTTCCAGAAGGGCTTCTGGGTACGGCGCTTCGTCTATGCTGGCTCAGTCGGTGCCGGATTTCTCGGCGACGCTGAGGAAGGAGAACAGGAAGCCCAAGCCGGCGCCGGTGATGGTGGGGCACCTGACGCCTCCGCCGTGCAAGAGCGGGTCGAAGATGCAGGGCGTGTTGTCTTCGAGAGGGAGCAAGTCCGTTGGGTCGGGGGAGAAGAGGAGGGGAATGGGAAACGGCGGCGGCGGCGGCGGATTGATGGCGAGGAAGAGCTACGCGAATTTGGAGGAATTGAAGGGATTGTCGGCGGCGGCGTCAAATTCGATTATGAACGGGGAAAACAGAGTGGGAGGGTTCACCAGCAGCAGGGGAAATGTTGGTGGGAGAGGAATTGGGAATGGGAAGGCCGTACTTGGGTACAGACACTAAGATTCGTTCGATTTTTGTTCCTTTCACGATTCTTACTGCCACCGTTGTGATTTCCTTACTTCTTCTTTTTCCGGTTCTTTCATGGTGTGGGTTTTAGGTGTGGTGTTCTTTGTTCAATACTCTGTTTCGTTGCTGTAGCAGAGGGAGTTTGGTTTTGCTGGATTGCAACTGCGAAACCTTGTATTAACACTTGAAGAATTTCAGTTCCCTGTAATCAATCAAAATACATTTCATGATTCTATACATGTAAAAGCCCGATTATGAACTTACTGAGTATTTTTTACATCGTCATTAACTAAAAGATCATTTCCAGTTAGCTAACATTTCCAGTTCTTCATAGAATCCAAATTGTCATTATTGAAAAGATCTGCCAAAACGAAATTCACGTTTTCTCTACAACGGGAATTCTCTAATCGATTATTATAAAGGGTTGTCGTAGTTAGTTATAGTTGACTAGTTCTTATGGGAATGTATACAGTGACGTTTGGCTGCTAACCTCACCAATAAGCTTCCACAGAAACCAACAAATGGAGATTTCTCTGCCACCCAACTCCCATGTCCAAAAAAATTGGAGGAAGGAAGACTCGGCTTCCCCTAAACATTTATATAATCCGAACTAGAACAGAAGAAGATGATACAGTACAGCTAGAGCCATCTAAGCGATCCAACCTCCCAAATCGTCACTTTTGTACACGACATGTCACCATGAAATGGGTTGTTGACTAAGTGCCTCCATTTTGCTAGAGTTGCCATAAGTCTCTCATAGTTTCTTCCAGCAAAACCTCGACGATCTCGCAGCCAAGCTCGCCACCGATCTCGTAAGATTCAACCTCAAACTCGGTCCATTTCGCTAATGATTGTCCCATCTCCAACTCCACCATCTCATCTGGTATCAACCCGGCCATGTTTGTCCACCTCTTAACCTCCTCTTCGACCTCTTCCATCACTGTCTCCTTGCACCATGGCGACACCAGCTGCTGCTGCCTCCATGTTCTGAACCCTGCATCACAATACCTGCTGTATCTCGAATCCAACCATTCTATGACGCAGTCGAACAGTAGCCTCCTGAGTTGATTGCTGGCCTCTTTGCTACCCTCAGTGCTCCCCATGGAAACTGCAACAGCATTCAGCTCGTCGAGAAGGAAAGATCCCAACACCGAACTTCTCGTTCTGTCATGACCATGATGAGTTGCTGCTCCGAACAAGAGCTCAGCAGTCAAGATAGTTTCCTTTGCATGACCAAGGTCCCTGCTGGTTAACTCACACCCACCACCAGCTAGAGTTATGCACTGCAATATTCTAGAGATGTGGTCATGGAGATCTGTCGCCAGCTTCGAAAATGTCCTGCCTTCGGTTGTGGAGGTTGTTGTAGAATCCCAATTAAGCATTGATGAAGCTGCATAATCTAAAGAATCAGTGTTCAGTTTAGTGATCCTAGAAACGTTGGAACTCCTGAGTAGTGTGTGTTTCAGTATTTGATACCTGAGTTGTCATCTAGACTGCTGGAGAAGCAGCTTTCATTGGAGAAGCTGGCATCAAGAACAGATCCAGGACTCAGGTGATTCTTTCCATTCTGAAAAGGAGTAAAAGGAGAAAAGTTCAACTTGTCAATAACACTTAAGAGGAAATTTTGAAAAGGGAAGATATAAAAGGCTGCTGATAGGATAGGACCATGAAAAGAAGATGCAAGTACTAGAAATATAAAAGCTTTCTTCCACGGTTAGAGAACCAAAACGCACCTGGAAAGGTGTATTGGCAATGGGAAAACAACTTGGTGGAGAAGTGGGAATCGAAGTTTCTATTGTCAAAGCAGATATCAGCTCCTGGAGAATCATAGCAGTGGATCTTATGGGAAGTGCACTGCCACCTTTCAACTCATCCTCTTCTTGTGAGATCAATTCTTTCAACTTTTGTTCCAGAAGGGAGCCTAATGCATCTCTTCTCGGCGAAACTTGCTTTTGCACACATCGTTTCGCTTCACTTTCATCTATGACCATGTTCCTTTGCTTTGGAGTGCTTGTCCCCATTTGGTTCCTGCTACCATAACCAGTTTTTACCCTAGATGGGGAACTAAATGTAAAAGAAGCAAGATCATTGTTGCCTTCACCATGACTATCAAATCTGGTTCTCGCACGGAAAGGGTTTGATCCTATTTCCTTCCCATTGACAGCATCAAAATTGATGCTCCTTTGTCTTACAGGCGGCATTGATGAATTGCCATGTCCACTATTTTGAAGTTGAGCTTTGACACTCACTGTCTTCCTCTTAACCCCTGGGCTCCTTAACTGTGGCAAGACATCATCTCTTCTGTTACAGAATTTCCTCTCCATGTTGAAGGTGGGATTATCCATCCTGTTCGATACTCGAGCCCTGGATCGGCCACTCAAACTTCTGTTCATAGCAACAAAATCTTTAGTACCACTAAAGGAACTCAGCTTGGAACCCTGAGTCAATTTATCAGTCCCTACTACTGGCATTCTGCTCTGACCTTGGCTTCTCTGCTTGAAACCCACAGCAGCACATGTCTCATCATCCCTTTGATGGTTGCTGCTGCCATGTTGAAATCCATTTGACTGCCCTCCAGATCTAAACTCATGTAACACGGCTTTCCTATCCACAACCACTTCACTACTACAAGCTCTCCCTTTGTCCTGCTTTTCCACATCACTACTTTGATGCTGCCCTGGTTTCCTCTTGCAGGCTACATCTCTCCCCTGTTCGGTAGCGAAATGAGAAGCAAGCGACGCTGCACGATACTGAAACGGCTCTTCCTCCACAGAATGAGACCTGGATTCCACAACCACATCAACCGCATTGCCACAATTCCTGCAAGAAGTCACATTACTCTTCTGTACTTCCTTCACAGACTGTCCGAAAACCCCTCCTAAAACATCATCATCGGGACCATAACGTCTCGAATTCGAGTAAGCAATGGTGGATTTGGCTCTATTGGTAGCTTGTATTCCAGGCTCCAAGATCCTTGTAGCGGCATCGATCAACCTAGATGTCCTGGACGCATGGCGTGCTGGCGAAAGCTTGGGGCTTTTAACTGGTGTAGCAAGTTTGGCGGGAGGGTTATTATATTTATGCTTCCTAGACCTTGACAGAACACTCCTTATGTCCAATGCTTCAGCTCCAAACCTAGTGGTTGCTGCTACTGCCCTTCTGTCGCACTGTCCAGTCTTTTGAAGCTTTTGAGGCCTAGATTCAAGCTTGGTGCTTACCTTATCCGAGTTTAAATCAGCTACACGATCAGACCCATCATTAAACCTTTGGTCTTGCCTGGCGTCAGAGTAAGCAACAGAGTTTGAAGCCTTCTTGTGCTTATCTCGCTGCAGAGCAGGCATTGAGTCGAGACCCATGAGCCTAGCAATTAAACTTGGAGACCGCATTTCCTGCTTCTGAAACTCCGCGAGACTTCGATCCTTACTAATCTTCTTGGCATTTGCTGGGAAACCGCCGCTGTTCTCGTCTTCAATCTGCAATATCCCAGCCCATACAAGGGTTTTAGACATATGTATAGAAGGAAATGTAAATGCAGTAGTAGAGTAAGCATTACCAAACGAGGCTTGGTCTTGGGCATCTTTTCATCCCCTGCAAACTTCTTCGAAGCTTGCTTCGTTCGAGCTGGAAAAAAAGAAAACATCACATTGTTCAGTCAAACTAGGCGTGTGAAGACGAGTGGTTGAACTGATGAGGCAGCGAGATAGAGGAGAGAGAGAGAGAGAGAGAAAAGGGGGGACCTGGAGGGAGAAGTTTGGTGGAGAAGAGCTTCTTCTTGGCGAACCGGCGGTTCCAATCAAATAGCTGGAAGAAAATGCCGACACATCCGCCGGGGCGATTAGGCCGCTTGTCGGAGACGGCGAGGCAGTTGGTGGTGGTGGCGACGGGGACGGTGGTCGGAGTCTGACTCTGCTCCATCCCTTGTCCTCCCATCCCCACTCACACAAAAAAAAAACAGAGTACCCTGTTTCTCTTTTTTCCTTGCTCTGTTTCTACCCTTTGAAGAGCATCAAGTCAAGTTGAATGGTTGCTGCTTAATCGCACGTACAGAGAGCAAAGAAAGAAGAAGCATCTGGCTGGGGCGGGTGGGGGGGACGGCGAATATTTGCCGAATTGCCAGAAGCGTGATTAAAGTTGAGAAGCCCAGGGAAAGGAGAAATGCCAGGTAAGGCTGTAAGCTTGAAAAAGGGCAAGTATCCAAGAAAGCTATGGTATGGTTTTTGGGGGGTGTGTGAAAGCGACGAGACGGGGGAGGAAAGGATATGCAAAACGACGAATGCAGTGCTGCAAACAAAACGACAGGCTGGAAGGGAAGAGCAATGGTGAATCACTACTGCTTGCTTGCTTGCTTTCTTAACAGTGGGGTGATCATTATTCGGATGTCTGGATGCAGAGAGCCGTTGATGCCTGTTTGATTAATGGGGTTGGAGTTGAAGAAGAAGAAGAAGAAGAAGAAGAAGAAGAAGGGAACAGGGATGAATGAAGAACAGAACAGTTGGCAAGAGAGAGAGGCGTGAACAGAAAGAGGAAACCCATGAAAAGAAACAACAGAAAGAGGGAGGGACCAGTGAACAAGAGAGAGAGAAAGAAGGATGGGATGGGATGGGAATTTGCTTGGAGATTTGGGTTGTTGTCTCTACTATGCGAAGGTCGAGGAGGAGAGGGGAGAGGCTACTACTGTCTGTAATGTTGAAAGTAGAATGGAAAAAGTTGCCATTCTGCTTCAGCTATGGCTTCGGCTTCGGTTGTGGAAAGGCTGGGCCGGCCGACCTGCCTGCAGCACGGCTAAGAGAGAGAGAGAGAGAGTGGTGGCGTGTTGGAGTGTGATAAATAGAGAAAGACGGAACTGAAGAGAGGCAGCCACACACGGGACAAAGATCGGATCAGAAGCCGGAGAAAAGAAGTGACCCATTTTTTTTTTTTTTTACCCAATGCATTTTCTTTTTCTTTCTCAGGGACGGACCGCTGGTCCCATGGCGCGAATCGGGAACGGCTATATACTTATTATCGGGGATTTAAAAACTAGGCTAGGAGGATACTCGACTGCGGGCCATTCTGGGCCGAGTAATAGGGTCGGTCGAAGACGTCTAGGTCAGGCCCAATTACGTTAACCAAATGATTTTCAAGCATTATGAGGGTTACATTTCTTTACAAGCCTTGAGCCCAGCCGACCAATCGATGATGATTTTTTTTTTTTTTGACACACATGAAATTGTTCTCCTCTACCTCGATCAAGGGAATCTTGTTCCCCCTGAATCTCCTAACTGGGAGCTTTGCCCCTGGATCATGACTCGTTGATTGGGCAACGATCTCTCTATGAATTTCAGTCGTCAGCAGATCATCCGTTTTAAGTCATATAAGTAAAATTAAAGATTGAGAATGTATACAAAGAAAATTAATCAAAGATCGTTGGCATTACTCAGAAAAAATATAGATACAACGTCTAAATCTCCACTCGAAACCAAGCTCAAAAGTAGAAACCAATCAAATCGACGATATACAAAGAAAAAAGTTTTCTTACTTGTCGAGTGGTTTTACCCTAATGTTTTGTCTGCGTATTGATCACATTGTATATCCTAGAAAGATACTGAAGCAACCACCGAGCCTCTTGAAGTATGGCTCCACCCCTACCATAAGTTGACGTCCCATGATTGATCTTATTAATCAATAATCACCGCTTTCGCATACCCTCCTAGATAATGGACACAATTCATAAAACCGATGGACCGCTGTATCGCGTTCGGTGTCCAGAAGTACCACCATCTCGATCGTGGCTAGATCACCAAGCCCTCATATCCCACCCCTCTCGCCATAACAATGTCGTCCCCGTTGCATCCCTTATTACCATCCTTTTAATTACTTGCGAGTCCGCACGTACAGCTTATCTGACATATCAAATGGCGAAAAGTCTTCAATTCGACAGATATAGTTCTCATTGGCTGTGTGATGGTTGCATGTGATGTGGTTCACTTTTTTCCTTCGGCGATGAAAGGAAAGCTGGAAGTCAAACGGGGATGCGCTTTGGCTTGGTTGATGATTTTGGGAATTGGGACACATGTTCTCTTTGTAGGCTTATCTTATGCCTTCAATTAACAATGTTCGTAATTTGGGGAAGTCCAAAAGTTCAGTGATCAACAAGACAAATTAGGCCCATTAATTAATCAAAACATTGTAAACAAAACATTGTAAACAAAGTGTTAAAAGGGGTTTAAGCAACAAGTTCCGAGGGATGGGAAACTTTGATTCGCTTCCACTCCAAGAAAGTAATTTTCTGTCTTTATTTTGATATATATTAGTATTACATGAACACTCCCGACAACTTTGATGACCTCAAAACTGATCATTTATGTTAATTAAAGTATATATGGAGAGGTGGGTTATGTAGCATTCCACCGTTTCATTGATAGTTTTTAGGTGATGAAAATTTTGTTGGGGCTATCAGGCTATGGCAGGATTCTAAAAGTTGATCTATGTATGCGTTTTAAATCAGAAGCGACGTCGTACTAATATTGATACATTCGATTGTGTTTAATCGGTGGGCCGACATCGGGGTCCATAGGGTAGCCGGAGGAGACAAAGCCCTCGTCGGCGTTGGCTGGAATTGGTGGGCCGACATGCCTCTTCGTTTATATAGCGATGGAATGAGTCAATTTGAGCGGTCTAATGAAATTGATCTCGAAAGCATGCAAGGAAAAGGATGGAATAAGAGGATAAAATAAATATGAGATTTTTCAAAATTTGACATGTTGCGTCTAGTTAGTTAGAGCTAACGTTTGAGTGTGGCATCCACATCTGCGTCATGTTAATTCTATAGATGAGGTATCTAACGACTTTAATTTTTTTTTTTAACTTAAATGACTAATTTATAATTACATGAAAGTGTATTTTGCCTAATTTTTATAAAGCAATGAACCATCGTTCTTACCATTGGTGTGAGTGATATCAATCGATTATGGTAGGGATTGGAGTTTGGTCCGTTCGGTTATAACGGAAAACCGAAAGGTCGGTTATTGGTTACCGAACCATCTCCAAACCTACCGACCACAGACTGAAAAGAGGCCTTAAGGCTTCGGTTATCTCGGTTTTTGGTTAACCGAGCTGCCCACAAGACCAAAAACAACTAGCCCATCCCTTCGAATACCGATCGATTTTCGGTTAGTGAATAACTGACCGGTTTCAGTTGTAACCGGTAGGTTAACCGCTTGGTGTTTTGAACATATGCCTAAACCCATCCCTACAGGCAGTCAGCACATGCATATGCGTCTCTTTTTCAATGCCCGAACCGACCCGTCAGGTCAAAAAGACCAAACAACTTCCAGAGTACAATCTGGAATTGGACTGCTCGTTCCATGTGATGAATGAAACCGTGAAAGATACTTTCAAAGACTAAAAAAGACTACGACTTCTTGAAGATGAGTAGAAATATATATACGCGTGATAAAAAGTCCAAGGCGTCAGCAATGCATGCTCTCAAATAGTCATTGGTCGCTCTAAAATTAATTATTGGATCCACTGCTAGTACCTAAATGTCTCAAAGTTACAGATCGTATAGTGGACTATTTGTTTCTACAACCAAAAAAATAGATTTATCACCGCTCAAAGGGAAGTTATGGGGTTTCGTTATAGCGGTATTAATGTCAATTTTTGACTTGATCTGTACAACCCGACCTCCCTTGACCGGTTTGGTGATGGTATTACTCGACACACAACATCATGGAGCAAGTACGAAACGTGTTTTTCTAAATTTGAGGATGATCTAACGATGGATTTTTTTTTAAATCCACTATTGAACTCACTGCCTTGTTGCAAAACAAAAAATACAGCAGCTCCTCTATTCCTCTCATCCTTCTCAATTCCCCAACTCTAATTCCCACTAAATTTTCTGGCTCATTCAAGGTTTGTTTGTGGTGGTAATGAGGATATGGAGAGTGAGAGAGGAAAGAAAGAACCAGAAAGGGAGAGGGGAAGGAGATGAATGAGGGTGCATGTTTTTGCACATTCATTCTCTATAAATCTCTCCCCATTTATCTTCTTCCCCAACCACAAATATCAAAATGGCCCAACCAAAAACTTGATTGCCACTTAAACCATCCAACATTATGTTAATTACAATTAAGCCTTTCAATTTTCAATTAACTTCAACTTCTTTTAGATTTAAAATTACTTTAACCGTAATCCAATTAATCAAACACCTTCCACATGCATGTCGTAGGTAATCAATTCAACGATTGGTTCATAACTTAAAACTCGTCCAAATATTGGGATGACGTCACCTTGATACGAGCATGACATAGGATGTGTTCAAGAGAGATGAGAATGTCATACCACAACTTCATCAAGTTATTACTTTGTTGTTTGATGTGCGACTTAAGTGATTAATATTTAGTAATAATATGATCTCTCACGTTCAATGAATGAAGAACCTTATAATAAAAGAAGTCTCAGTAATCCTGTTGAATTTGACATCCAGATTGAAACAAAATGGTCGATAATGAGGTGTAGCTATTAATTTGTTATATCTTTTATGAATGAAGAAGCCTCATTATTTCCTTATCGCCTTGTTGGTTTAGTTGTACATTTGCTCCACTAAAAGTAAGTCAAATTAGATTATCTGAATGAATAGTGATTTTTTTTTTAAATGAGAGAAGATGTTTGTGAAAGATTAATCAAATTATTAATAAAAACTTACGTTTTTATGCTACGCTTTACATTTTTACTCATATTTTCGCTTCTGCATAGAAACTCGCATTTGAATACGTTGGACCCAATTATTCCTTCTACTATACGTATCATTCATTTATGAATTGGTTTCTCTATATGTTCTTGTAAAAGAGTTAAATATCATTTTTTTCCATATATCATATAAGAATGGGTTGACCCATCCTGCTATATACTAGAGTGGATTTTACCATACCTGACACGTGTTTAGTGCGGGACGGGTATCAGTATTGAGGTACACACTCCGTCCCGCCCCATTGTCATCACTAAATCGCAGTTCAATAGTGAAAGAATCTTACGACCAAGGATCGAACGAACAATGCATTAGGTCCGGTCCAAATATCACGTTTGTAAAATTTTCTTCAGTGCTTACAAAATTTATTCGACTAAGAACCAGATGATAGTATATTCAGTTTGATATGTTCTAGTCTAACAATGAGTTTGGTCCCAAATTGTTGCACACCCTTATATATACATGCACCTTCTCAATCTATGTAATATGCATCTACTCAAGTATAGTGAAACTAGTCTCTTCTGTATGTGGATTAGCTAACACACGTTGTGATAGTGAACTAGATAAATTTATGTGTTCTTTACTTTCTTGCATTGTCGATTTATCAATCCGTTCTAACAATTGCATTCAAAAGAAGAAATTACCATCATGATAATATTTTTAATTGGCAGTATTCAGATCATTAGGATAATTGGTTTGGTTATTTGTTTTAACTTGTTTGATTTGGTTTAAAATCTTGCATTCTTGCTAATCAATCAAACCAATTAACTAATCATCATCCATGTTAAGGACCGAATCTGAACCGTTCACCAACCTAGTAATGGGATCTGTAGTGTACGGATACCGTCTCCTCTCTTCGCCGGCCGTCGGAATTTACAAAGACATCTCTCTATCTATCCCTCTCTCTGTACAAAAATCCAAAACCTTAATTAAAACGCATACATACAGAGAAGCTAGCGACCTAACGATCAAGAACCTTAACCGAATTCAAGATCTTCCATATCCTTAA